CCTAGCAGGAAGTGTTTGTGGTAAAGTGAGACTGCGGATGAGTGCTGTGTGAGAAAAGGGCTGGTATGTGATGGTGTTTTCGTCTCACTGTGTAAGAGAACACCATGTTTCTATCTGATTCGTACCATCCTGAGATCCAGGGAGGTTAAAAGGACGAATATTAGCTTACTAACTATTGTTTTGTTCATTTTCACATGGTAATGGAGCTGAATTATGGGGAGTAAATGTTTTTCTCCTATGTCATTAGTTTGGCATGAACCATAACAAACCCCAGTGTTGTGCAAGTTTACATTTCACGAGAGCAAGATCTAGTTACTTCATCTGCTGTTAAACCAATGCCACTTTGGTATCATTTTCTCCCTTTTGCTCCAATGTTGACTGGACACATCTCATGTCACTGCTAACTCCTGCTCTTAGCCTCAGGTGGATACACACTGTATTGCAAATGTTTGAAGCAACCGCTGCTTATCACATGGCAGTAAGGAGCTTCACCACAAGGTCCCATCACACAGACATTACTACAGCAATGAATACATTACAAGGCACAAAGAGTCATGTGTGCCTACCTGCATTTTAAGAAAACATCTATAATGTTGACATGATGTGTCAAATAGGTCTGTTAAATGTCGATTATTGGATTAGTGCATATTTTATTTTGATACAAACATAAATGGGTTACCGCCAAATCAATTTGGTTCATTACTCCTTACAAAAAACGGAATCAAAAGTCTTATTTTTAAAGTCCTTATCTTCTGAAGGGGATTTTTGTATTTTTCTTCCAGTTACACCACAAGTAACGCCGCACATGAGAACCTAAAGCAAGAAGGCATAAGAGTGTATTGCTCCTGGGCTTTTAAGCAGAGCAGATGTTTGTTGATGTGTTCTCCATTTTAGAGAGGCACTCCACCAATCTTACCATTGAGTTCCCTCTCTGTGAGTATGAGTGTTATTCAGTCTGTGAAAACATTTGCATGATGTCTTCTGTGGCTAGAAGATACATCAAGCAGTGATGGGATCTCAGTTTAGGCATCATACATGGTAACATATCCACTAAAAGTATACCTTTATTTAACTGAAATAATGTAAAGTAACATATAATAAACATTTTAAACATGTTAACCAAATATGTCACCAATGCTATAAAGGTAGCTGGTGAACAATTTACTTCAATAACAATACAACTTCTCAGTTTGTCACGGTCAGCCATGGCCTTTGTTAATTTCTACCGTAGAGTACCTGGAATACTAGGGGGTCAGAAGTTTTCTGAAACGTCCCATATTAAAAGTCGCTAACATTTAGAGTTTGGGAAATTGTAGGATTCAGTGTTTTTAGGAGCTTGAGCTATTCTAGATAGTAAATTCAGAGTTTCTGTGCCTCTTCTTATTGGTTTATCAATCGCTCTCCTCAACTTTGTGAGAGTGTAAAGTGTGTAAAGCTTTCTGGATATTCTCCTTTCTCAACATGCTTCTTAGCTTGTCAGGGTGGTAAAGCGACATCTCTTCTCCATCTTTATCTGGTATTCTTTTTAGCACCCTTTTGTTTCCTGTTCTCCCATCTTTCTACCCTCTGCAAAACAAAAAGGCTGACTAAACTGAAACAGAACAGCCACGTGTACGCGCTTTCGGATGCCTTATGTGTGTGTTTGTGTGTCTATGTAGGGTGTTTGTCCCCAGCGGCACGTAAGGACGGGGCGACTAAAGGAGTGTGTTCTGAGCTGTGAAGTGGGTGTCTGTCAGGATAACAACACAGCGGGTTGTATGATAAAGGCGCAAGCACACACGCTAGCATACGCTGTGTTCTTCACCCACAAAACTCAAGTCAATGTCATGCTTTGACAAAATGCCGACAGAAGTCCCCCTCAGGCGCTGCCATGACGAGCTCACTGCTCTTCCTATAAATAAAACAGCCTGTATGAATGCAAAATGCCCAAATATGAATACACACACCACAAGACAATTGCCAACTAGAGTTCTTAATAACAAAGACTTTCCCATCCCGGATCTAATCGTAAATATTCATCCAGCTTTTTTTTCTTTCACTCAAACCAATAATGTATGTTGCCCCAAAACACTACAGGAACAGGAAGGAGGAAGCTGAGGAAGCTGGCTGTGTTGATTGATGGCAGCGTGAGATGTGGTGAGGTGTCAGTTTGGGACGCTCATTTTTTTCCCCTGACAAGGCAGCACAAGGGAGACCCACATACAAACGCACACCCATCAGAAACCTTTAAGACTTAATCCATCACAGTAGAACTGACAGATTGATGTAAATGGGGGAAAAAAGAAAATACCAGGGGACAAAATACAGAAAAAACACACTGGGACTCTCACACAGAGGGCCTAAACACACACACACACATGTTTCAGAAGATATTGTATCTGGCTGTATATCCTTCAGAGACTGGACCCAGGTGAATTTGAGCGATGCTGTTCCCCACTATGGCCCAGAAAAACAAAGAGAAACCACACTTTTAATATGATCCAGTAAAGCTTATATAATGTATTTTCCACTAACATGGTAACCGCACACTCATCTTCCCTGGGGTGAACTCGGCTCAGCTGGGCTGGACATGAATCCTGGGAGATGTTTGAAGAGAGGAGGGGGGGGGGGGTGGCTTGAGAGGAAAACAAGGACTTTAGCAGTGCACCGCCAAGCCTCCTCAAGACCAGGAGGTCAATACAACATAACAAGGTCACAACAGGAAGTGCGAACAGAAGCGTAAACAAACACTGAGGGACTTCAATGAAAACATGTGTATGCAATGATTGGATTCTACTTTTTCTTATTTTTCATTTCAAATCTTTATTTATCCAGGTTGTATCCCATTGAGATCATTGATCTATTTTTCAAGGGAGACCTGCTCAAGTAGGTTCCACATGAAACATTAAAAACATAAACATAATGACTTATACACACAGTATGTAGCGTGCAGATGAGATGGCCTCAGTAATTTGTACACGTCACATTTCCAAGGTCGTCTGCTGTGTCATCAGAACCCCGCTGGCCTCAGCACATGACATTCAACGTCTTTCACTCGCTTTAGAAATGTTTCATATTTCTCCACAAAGAGAGCAACGCTGGATCATGTATCATATCACTGTGGCTGAGTGTTGCAGCTACCATGCGTACTGATCTATCACTTTCTCTATTATACCACTCCCTTATCTCAGGCATCAGAAAGATTAAGAGTCAGAGAGAGAGCCAAGAGAGGGGAGAGAAGGACTTTGTTGGCCCCATCGCTTTTAAGTTTAGGAGCTTAGTCGATCATATCTCTGCATTTCATATATAAAAATAAGCATAGAATGGTGTATAATTGTTGAAATTTCCCATTTTAAATAATGCAGAAGCAGCTGATAAATTGGAAAGAGCAGAGGTTTAAATATGATCATGTTTGAGCGATAAAGTTCTCGATCTTAGAAACTGTACTGTCCAACAAAAATCTTTAAATGTAGCTACTCTTACTCAAGCAATAGATCTTTCACCTACATCTAACTATTATTTTTCTCGCTGGACAGAGTTTGCTCAGTTGTAATATAATGCTAGTCTGCTTTTGTTATGATGATTACACCATGTCATAATGACACTTGGTCACATGTTACTGTAAGACAAAGACTAGTTTCTTTGAAATGTTCCACTTTTACGTCATAAAATGACAAAAGAATTATCATTTTGAGTTCATTGTCAATGTAAACACATTGTTAGCTACATTTCAAAAAGCCTTTGCCTTACCTTTCGGAAAGCCAATGTCTCTTGCCCTGTTTTTGCCAAATATCCACTGCAACAAGGCCTTATAATTGTCTAGATACACACAATTATATAGAAACCTCAATCAATTATTTATATTTAAAATTGATGGTGTTTTTAAGAATGTATTCTCTCTTTGTTTATTCATTATCTAGCTCCGGGTTTAGCATTGAACTCGTGATATATTTTGTATACTGTATTCAATATTTCAATAAATAAACCTTCTAATCAAACCATACCCTACAAATTCAGAGCAATGTCATATTTTAAATCAATAATCAATGTTGAATTACTCAGAACCATTGAGGGAGGGAGATAACTTGTGGTAAAACTTTGAAAAAGGGAATGGATCAGAAGAATACATGAGTAAGTGACTGAATGAATGAGTGAGTGCTTAAATGCTTTTCATGTCTTCATATATGCAGTATTTAGGTCAGCTCTACATGCTGTAAAGGGCCCTGGCTATGACCAGCACATACTCTACTGTAGCACACTATCTTCCTCCCCGGGCCAGAGGGCTGAGGGCAGAGTGTGCACAGGAAGGAGGGCAACCATGCAAAGCTAAATAATGCAGTGGCTCAGTCTCCACATTATGACCTAGTAAATGGCTGGTTATACAAACACTCAGACCCTCTTGGGCTGCCCAGTCTAACAGCACAATCATAAGCATGAATGGACCATGCTCTTTTCAACTAATGTAGGCCCATAGCTATTCACTCAAATCATCATGTATGGTCTGTTCATCTCTAGGACAATAACTTTGTACACCTTGTGTATTACATGGAAGAAGTTTCGGTATGTCCAGGAATTTCCACCATCAAAACTAAGCTAATTACAATTCAATCTGATATTCTAAGAAAAAGGCCTGCATTGGTTTAAGTGTCTTTAATTATGAGATAAAGGTCAATGGAATTACTTGTCATGCAACTCCACAAACTGAGTGTATCTTGGCATGCTGTAGGCCTGTGTGTTGACAGCTCTAAGGAAAGCAAAACGAGTGAAAAAAGGTGTGCTACTCTTTGCACCATACAGACATCATAAACAATCTCTCTCTTTTTTTCTCATACATACATTTGAGTATCTCTAACAACTTCAGGCACTGTGACATATCTGCAGTGGGTTAGTAACCATACAACTATCTAACTTCTGACATCACACATGTTTAGCCTACTGTATGTGTCACACAGACATTCATATCACACGCTCAAAGTAAGCAACTCGCAGCCTGTGACAGCCCCCCCGGCGTCCCACCCTACCTTCGGTGTGGCAAGTGGAGGACAGGATGGTGCTCGGAGGGCGGAAGAGGTACGGGAGATAACGGGAAAAACATTTCATCTTCTTCTTCTCCGATGCTTGCTGACGGGTGAAGAGCGCTGCGTTGCGGGCTCCACATCCGCACTGCCGCCGCGACAGCAGCCAGAGAGGAACCTGGGGGAGCGGGAGGGGAAGAGGCTCTCCGTCCGCGGCGCAGGGGGCTATGACAGCATCACTTTTCGCAGGCAGACAGCGCAGGCAGGCAGGCAGCAGGCTCCGGTAAAACTGCGCGCCGCCCGGGGAACAAACAGCCGCACAATGTCAGCGCACCTCCGCTTCCGTGTTGGTAGTTCAGTCCGAGTTGTTTGAGTGATAGCCGGACAGGGGATCGTGTCTGTCCTCACAGCTGGGAGGTCAATGTAGCCTATGTGTGGTCTGCCGGTGTAAACATCCCCACCCCCTCGTGTTAGTCAGCTTATTGGAGGAACACAAGTAATTACAGGGATGGTCCGGATGGTCATGTTGTTCCCACGATGTTACTATATGATTCATGGAGGCTACTAAGTTAAATCTAAGCCCCCAAACATTTATGGTGTCACTATGATAGACGTTATATTTGTGTTGTATCCCAGTATCAGGGTTGATTTTAAGTAGTGGGGGATTAAAACAGCACAGTGTGTGATAATGACCATTGGCTCAAACTTGATGAATCATGTGCAAAACTTCCAACTGCTGACCAGGTTATTGATCAATTGGGTTTGGCGCCATCTTGTGGCACTATTTAATATTGACAGCAAATGAGAGTTACAGTCGTGTTACAGTCTTTATACAGTCTATGGTTACAGTACAATAATGAACATATAATAAAACCAGTAAAGGGGATTTGGAATTTATTTTGCCAAAATAATATTAATAAACAGTAGCTCCTTTATTGTCCAATAATGCAGGATTATGAAAATCCTAAAAGTCTAATAAAAATACAGCTTTAATTTTAAAGCTGTAAGAACTACACATAACAGTTATAATAATATTATAATGTTCTGTCGATTTATAATTTGATAACTGTGGCAGTTTTTCACATGTTTTTTCCCCATATCTATGAACTCTCGCGAGACTTGAGTGTGAACTAATGCCAGCGGAAGTACTGTGCGAGTCTCTTTTCCGCCGGCCATAGAGGAGCAAACGGCAGGGTAAGATTTCCTTGCAGATACTTTCAATAGTAATCACTATCCATCCTGCCTTTATTCTCCTTGTGTGTCCCTATAAACGTCTAAACACAATTTTAACATTGTCCAAATCAAAATAATGCCAATATTGAACCCAGATTGATTATTTATTGTTAGTAAAAAACCTCTCAGGTTTTGGTGTCCCTGCTAGGTCCCTCAGTATCCGCATGTCGGCTACAGCTAGTGAAGGTGGTTGATTTCTGGTACTTGCGATGACTATTCCGCCTCCTTTACAGTTAACCGCTTTTCATTTAGTCTGTAAAACACTCGGTAATATAACTTTGTTACTGTTGGCACAGAAATACGCTTGCTCCACTCTGTTTAATGTTATGCTAACCTAGTAGCTTTATAGCTTAGCATACGGCTCTGAAGGCAGATTGTAGCCTAGCCTGCTATCTAGCTGTTTTAAAACCGTAAAGGTATTACGTGTTTCTGCTAACCTTTTTTGTAACGTTAATTTTATTGTTAAATGGTCGATGTTGTCTAGAGAAAATAGCTTCTCGTAGTACTCGAGTTGGAAACAAGCAATTATATCAGTACATGCTTACAGGAGTCATGCTTTCATCAGTTCTGACATTTTAAACTGGATAATAACCTTTTTCATGTCGTTTGCTTACAGCATCATGAAGCTCAATCCATTTGTAACCTCCTCCCGCCGCAAGAACCGCAAGAGGCATTTCAATGCCCCCTCACACATCAGGAGGAAGATTATGTCTTCCCCACTGTCCAAGGAGCTCCGCCAGAAGTACAACGTGAGGTCCATGCCCATCCGCAAAGATGATGAAGTCCAGGTATTGTAGTTACAATTGCTTAATGTTTTCATCATTGCCATAGAAAGTGTAAGGCTTTTGCTTGACAGTTGTTATGTTTACAGGTTGTCCGTGGACACTACAAAGGCCAGCAGATTGGCAAAGTAGTGCAGGTCTACAGGAAAAAGTATGTAATCTACATCGAGCGTGTGCAGAGAGAGAAGGCCAACGGAACCACAGTCCATGTCGGTATCCACCCGAGCAAGGTGAGAAAGTCCACCATATCCTCAAATTGTTTTGCTGCCTTCAGTTGCAAAAAAGAAAGTGTAATTGGCATTGTTCAAAGTTGTAACCTACACCTGTAGTTAGTGAGACTAAAACTGTTCATTAGCTGGGTGTTGACACTGAATTTGTGTTCCTTTCCCCCTTTTTTGTGTGAAATTAAGTGCCACACAAACTGTTCAAGAACATTTCCTTGTTGAGAAAAACTTTTGTTGTGTTCCCGAAGTACAAGACAAATGTCCTTTTTATCAGTAATTGTACGAGTATCCTGGCAAGCACTCTAAAAAATAGGTAGATCTACAGAGAAGCACTTGACTGTGTTTGATGACACACTGTTGTGTTCTATGTTAGAATGAAAGGGCTGGACAACAGTTGATTTGATTGTTTTACTCAAAAAAGGTAAACCGGCTTAAAACTGTCAAAGAAACGTTGATCCGATTAAATTCTGTAATCATTGACAATGTAGGAAGTGGCGTGGCTGGATTGGATGACATTTTATTATTTCTGTTTATCAACCACAGTTTACATTTATCACTGTTATTTCGGGGCTTTAAAGTTCAAAGTTAAGCTTGAAAGAAAATACATCATAGAGGGCTATACTTCAAAGTTACATTTCTTTTATTGTAACTGGAAAGAATATTGTTCCTAATATTTAGATAGGTTTCATACATCTTAACAAGATGACAATGACATTTGACCGTGTTGGAAAGTAGGCAATATGAAACAAACACTTTTCTACCAACATTCAAATTCACTGTAGTTTCAGTGACTGAAAAGTTGCACAACATCTTGCATTGTATTGAAAAAAAATGTTAGTGCTACAAAGATGATACTGCCGCTGTATGGTACATTAAAGCAATAGTAATGTTGTATGCCTCGCTCCTTAGCTTTTAAGGCTTTTCTGAATAGTTTTGCTCATTTATTCAAATGCAATTATCACAGCAGTTTTAGGGTCCTGGTATTTTACATGTTGGCTCACTGTCAAACAGCTATGGCTTACACAGACCCTTAAACAGGCATCAGACCTGCCATTGCTCATTTGTCCTTTTCTTTTTTACTGGGCTACAGTTGCCTTTTCGTTTTCACGAATGTATTAGTTCATCCCCATACTGGCAAAATGCTGTGTTGGCCATATAGATGTGATGGATAAACTCTACACAGCAATTTGTTGTGCTCTCACAGGTACATGTGAGCTGGCCAAAGCAAGCTGCAGTTCCAATACATCTAGTGTAGCAAATTCTTAAACATGTTGACATGTCTATAGCAAAAAAAAGGACAAATTCAAGGAATGACAACAGAGGATTTCAGTTAAAATAAAAGTCATCTAGTAAGCCATACTGTTTAACAAGCATGCAAAACTTATAGAGTGCTTGAATTCAAAAGAAGTTAAATGCACTCATAATTACACTTAAACTGTTATCTTGTGCTCGCTTACAATAGAGAAAAATGTATCTGGGTGTAAGAGATCTTCACAGTGGGCCTTTACTTTGAAGCACTATGTACTGTGACTTATAAATACAGACATATGCTATTTGATGCACATCATGTTTGGCTTTATAAGAAATGTGGTGCCGGTCATGTTTTATCCATGTGTCTGTTGTACACTAGTAAATAGTATTTTCATTAAAACGGTTTTGGACATGCTTTAATTCCGTAAGTAGTTGTGACACCAGATTATTTTCAGACATGCCCTCCTATGATTGGTATCACTCGCTTATTCCATGATTGTTTACCAACCCGTTTTTATTTTTCCTTTACAGGTGGTCATCACCAGGCTAAAGCTGGACAAGGACCGCAAGAAGATCCTGGAGCGCAAGGCCAAGTCTCGCGCCGATGGAAAGGAGAAGGGCAAATACAAGGAGGAGACCATTGAGAAAATGCAGGAGTAAAAAATACTTTTTGCTTTCAATAAAAAAATGTATAAATGGACCATATTTTGTCTGTCGTGTGTTGTTTGATTATGTAGGCGAGTTGTTTTTGTCTTTTCAAGGCATTAAATGTATTGTCTACATTAGGGAATCTTTGTCACATATGAGCTGCCTTATTTGAGGTACACAATTGTTGTGCATCACTTTTCAGAAGATAATTTGGTAATTGTCATGTCTGTACAGATCCCACCAAACTCTTGAATATTCATTTTGTATCCACTAAAAGTGAGTCTTTCAGCATCTAGAAATCCAATGTCATTAAGAATTAGTGCTGACAGATGTTTGCTATCTGGAATTTTCATTTTGAATACAGATCAATTTTTTTCTTTTGAGTAATGCACATAAGAATAAAATAGATATTTATGGGCTCTGTCTTATTTTGATTTATTATCCTTGACGGATATAAAGACGTCTACCCATTTGATTGGATTTGTTTTAATTGGATTAAGTATTTTAGAACCTGGCAATTATGCAAATTATAAGTGGAATGTTGCTGGAAGTTTCATAAATTGTCTTGTGGAGATTACATTTCTCAATGTTTAGGGTCAGACTCTAAAATGAACATTACATGAGTAACCTGAAAAGTATTTATTTAGCCTAAGCACCACACATGTATCTCTGGGTAGCAATAAATGTAGAACATTCTCTTTTCCAAAAGATTCAAACATGAATTGAACAGTTTAAAAAAAAAAAGAACTGTCTTGATTTTATAAATTAATTTACCAATCTCTAAACTGCAATAATTAAAGGAGTGAACTGATTTTTAAAAAAAATGCCAAATTGGTCATCGTTTCTCCAGATGTAAAGATATATATTTGTACTCATTGTTTCATACAAGGCGAAGACTCACGTACTTCTCTGGTCAGTGGTCATGCTCTTTATTTTAAAACATGTCATACCAATAGCACACATTAAATACAAATAATCAAGGGCCAGTTAACTATCATTTATATAATATGAATTGCTGATCAGTCTAGATAACACTTCACAGAAATCAGTTTTGAAAATAGTACTATGAAGGCTGACCTAAATACGGTGCTTTTCTACAGATTACCTTACCACTGCACTGGTAAAACTAGGCCGATTAATAAAATGTGAAGTGCTTTGTAACTTTGACCCGCTTGACTGAATACACAAAAAACAATGAAGAAAGACTTATCTCTGGGCCGCTTCGCTGCCCGCTGCTCCCCACTGGACTCGAAAGTGGCGTAGCCTACAGGCTACAGTAAAGGTACGTCTTCAACATCAATGCATACGAATGGGCTCGATATATGCTGTATTGAACCAATAAACACAAACTAACTGTATCACTATAACATGATGATGATGGTGATAAAGAATGCATCTAACGTTCCGCTGTTCATTATAATACAAAAACATCATGCTCTTACTTTGAAAACCATGCGGAAATGTCGTCATCAGCCGGCCATCACCTGTTTTCCGAAAATAACCGAGTGACACGAGTAGATTTTAGCCGAGACCGGCGGAAAGTTTGTCTCAAAACTCCGTGTGTGTAAAAAGACGATCCACAAGCAGAGATTTGAGATCCACAAGCAGAAATGTGAGATCCACAAGCGCATTTTTGGTCGACAAATACAAAATGGATTCACAAATGCCTGATCGAAAGTTGTAAATGTTAAAGAGATATTCAAAGATCTTTTTTTTATTTGTAAACATATTTTGCGTATTTGCAGATCCGTTTTACATTTGCAAATTTATTTGTGAGTTTGCAAATCTTTTAAATGCATTTGTGGATGGTGTTTTACATTTACAAATCACATATTTACACACAAATAATTGTTATGTTCACACAAATAATTATGAGACATATCTATTGCCTCATCTTCTCAGGAGGTTCAGACGTGCACATTTAATTATGTACACATTAATGTTTCATACACTAAATGGTAGACTGTTCCCTCCCTCTTGTTGGTGGTCATGTGATACGTGCTGCCTGTGGATCCTGTCTGCCAGCTGCACAGCACTGAAGTTGTCAAAAGTTTGTACAACTGAGATATCCTTGGTTTTTCAAGGAACCCCACCATGGCAGAAATGGGTTTTGTGATCGCCATGTCCGTGATGACTCTGTTTTGGGGCATTATCGGAGGAGTAGTGCCATGGTTCATCCCCAAAGGACCAAACAGAGGGTGAGTTTGTTAGCTTACCTTTAGCTTCCTACTGGCTACACAGAGCTAGCTAAGGGAAGTGTTACTTTATGTTATCCCGTGACTCTCATTTGTTACAAGTGCACTGTATAATATGTAGCGACACTTTAAAAAAGTTTCTCAAAGTTACTTGAACAGCTAAAAAATGTAAACCCTGTGGGGAAACTTTGTTTGCCAAAGTAAAAGTTAGTGTTAGCTAACTTAAGCTCTTCCTGTGTTAGTCAGTGCTTTCCACTTTTTTTTTTAATATTGGTGTTATTGACATATCGCTGGAATACATTTCAATTGTGTATTTTTATATATTTAAAGAACGAACTCGAGGGTAATGTACTTCATCTCTGGAAAATATGCCTGATTGAACTTCCTCTATTTGCCTGTTTGTCACTCGCATCACGAGATCACGCTATGTTAAAAGTATGTGATGTTTATTAAAACATTAATGCAGTATTAGATGCTAACCTCTTACATATTTTCTCAAATTTCCACAGAGTGATAGTCACAATGCTGGTGTTAACTGCTGTTTGCTGCTACCTGTTGTAAGTATTATCATCATTAAAGAAATGTACAAATACATTAAAATGTTGTTTTCTGTGCTTTAAAACCAGTCTATGTTAAGACCATGTCATGCATTCATGAACCAATAGCACAAATTGAATCAAAAAGTAAACGGTCAGTAATAATCACGTATAAAGCAAACATATTGTTATTATCAGTTGACTTGAATAATTCATGTAATTTTTTGATTAAAATAGCTTATTCAATATATTCCTCATACTCCTTAAATGTAATAATATGCACCTTTTCGTTGTCTGATGTCTTATTGAATTGCTATGGATTTTGGACTGTTGAAGATTTTTCCTTTGCCTCTATGTGTAATAAGCAGTTTCATTATTTGTTCACGTCACTATTTTGTGGGTTTTAAAAATGTACATTATAAATAATAGATCAGAGTGCCACTGTTCTACCAGTGGATGTTTATTTGTATAGTATAGTATTACTATCTTGTGATATATTATTTATATTCACAATGAGTTGAAGTGTGCTCATGTTACATGTAAAATATGCAAAACAACTCCTTAGAGACAGGTGAAGTTAATTTATGAAAGCCCTCAATTTGATAATCCTTAAAACTGAATCTTTTGTAGTGAAAATTATTGGCCTGAATTCAGAATTACCTTTTGTAACACAATAGGAAACACAATAACTGAGCTTTCAAGAATGTGTTTTTTTTTTATTTGTCTTTAAGTAGTTTTGTATTGACACATTTGATTTTAATACCCTTTTTTTCTCATCAGCTGGTTGATAGCAATTCTGGCCCAGCTGAACCCACTTTTTGGGCCGTCTCTGTCCACTGACGTCATCTGGTACCTGAACTATCACTGGGCTTAATTTATTCTTAAAGGATTCCCGAATCATGCAGGTACACTTCCTCCTCTGAAAAAAGTAAATTATTGAACCTACATTTTATTGTGTACCTTTTTATGCAGCTCATACTGTATTTATATAGTAGCCTATAACTCATTTATATTATTGCCATGCTTGTTTTTTTAACTGTTCTTTTTCATTTTGCCAGCAGGGGAGGACCTGATACTGCTGCATACCAATGGACGTTTGCTTCTCACCTCATGCTGAGATCATTCCTTCTAAACTCAGACCCCTGTGTGATGTACAGAGTGATGCCCACACTTGCGCCTTGTGTAAAAATTATTCCCAAAGGACTTCTGAGAGATCTCACTGAATGTGCTTTACTTTAAATTAAAACAACCTTCTCTTGTTGTCTGGTTTATATATTATGTGTATCGTGTTTATTGTTGATATGAATGACCTGTCTTTAAATAGTGAAGTGGAGTATTTGATGTGTGTTCGATTGCTTTTGTCTGATAATATTAGTGATGGATGTAATCCATACGATAGTTGTTAATAAACAAAAAAATACACCATTGCTCTGTCACTTTGTATTTTGTTTTGACTCATTTATTACTTTCTAGCCTAAAGTGTTGATATTTCTGACACATGTTTTTGTCAATGTCATTCTAGATTCTCCTTGTTATGTTGACACATCGTGATACATTTTAGTGACATTACTGTAGAACGTTCTATTTGTTTATTTCAGTGAATTTTGTATTTGCAGACCATATATATCAGTAATGTAAATACTTTACATATAGTATAACACCATCTTTGTATTGTATACATTCTGTTTTTTAATATCGTACGAGGTCTGTTCTGTTCATTTGAATGGGCGACCTTCGCCCATCAAAACAGACTTCCGGGTTTTCCGTAGCTGCAGCCGGCTGGTTGGCAACATGGCGTCCTCAGATGTCCACGTCCGAATTTGTGAACAAGAAATACTCAAATATGACCTCGAAATCAAAGCTCTCATCCAGGTGCGAGTATTTATTTGATAAGATTACATAGCGCTATGTGAAGACACGGTGGTTTTGAAGCTTGTCATGTAAGGGAACCGTGTGATAGCAGAATGCTAAATGAAGTGTTTCCAGCTGCAGACAGCCGGTGTACTGACAGCTCGAGACAAGCTGCAGCTACCGGTGGATTACACATGATTTTACCTTTCTCTTTAATGCGTCATATTTACTTGTATGTAAGGGTATTATATGAAATGTGAAAACGCGACTATCAATAACTTATATTGGCTATAGTCAAAGGTAACGTTAGCTTATTCTGTCAGATATAAATGATTCATGTTGAAGCTGATTTACAGGATGCACCTGCTTTACAAAAAGACCAATATTAACTGAGTTGGGGTTAGCTTTCTCTCACACATTTGAGTAGACCTATATTTGTAATTTAGTTTCCACTGATTGCTTTTTTAAATGTGTAAAGGAAACCCATTCAAATAGTTAGATAATGAATTGTTGAAGTCACTTACCATATGCACAAATATTCATGTGTCACTATTTTCACGCATAGGAATAATTGACAGACCAATAGATAAAGAAAATAGTCATTGCAGGCCTAAAGTTTTATTTATTTATTTTGTATTTATATTCCCACCTAACAGAATGATGCATCATGCAACTCTTAATAACAGACAGTCTAAGATCATCTTTAGAAAACCACTCAAACAGCCGTGATTCTCCAGCAGTGTTTAGAGTGCTTTTACAGTCAAATGAGAGTTTATACTAGTAAACCCATGCATGTTATTCTCATCCTTGTTTTGATACCTCACCAGGACCTCAATGAGTGCACAGGCCCTGAAAGTAAGCTGACAGTACTGAACGCAGACGTGAAAAAGAGTTTCCACAATCTCAGGTTGCGGATTCAGGTAAGAAACTATTTGCAGCTGCACATCAACCACTTGCACTTGGTAGTATCATAATAGAGGGCTTTTTTTGTTTCTTTGACAGGATTTTGAGGAGATGGCCATGGAGCAGGACAAAGAGTCGGAGAAGCAGGCTTTGATCAGTCAGGTGGAGGGACACAGAAAACAGATGCTGAGGTAATGCTGTACTGAATTTGTGTCCTCTTGGTTATTTGTGTCATTTTGGATTAAAGCATCAGCTAAATGTAATGTAATGTCTATATATTTAAAAAATCTAACATTCCCTGGATTGTATTATTGTGAACTGCTGTGTTTCTTGTCACATTTGTGTGTTGATAATGCAGCTAACCTGGTGGAAAACAGCCATGTGATTATTATATTGTCTAATTACACTTGTGGTAATTAACACTTAATTAACACTTGTGGTAACTTATTATTACCACAAGTGTAATTAGACAATATAATAATCACATGGCTGTTTTGTGGCTATGTTCACAGTAACCAGACAGGTTGGAGGAAAGCCAACTTGGCCAGCAAACTGTCTATAGACAAAATGGAGAAGCAGGCACTTCTTTATGGAGCAGATAGTGCTGTGAGGGAGAGGTGAGCTGACAGTGTGTAATAGTTCTTAAAGAGACGACTGACAATCAGCTTTATGTCTATTTTTGTAGAAGATACACAATTCTCTCAGTCTTGTAATAAAAAAAAAAGCATTCTTATCTTTGTAGTCCTTTTTGAGTATACATTCAAATAATGTTTTTATTCTATTTCTCAGGAAGATGACCAAAGAAGGCTTGGCCCATACAACCAGCGACATCACAGAGAATCTCATGAGCATCAGCCGGATGATGGCGCAGCAGGTCCAGCAGAGCGAGGAGACCATAACCTCGCTGGGTTAGTGAAGAAAAACACAATACAATTATAATTTTTATTCCAAGGGCATCTACCAGTTACTTAAAATGTGATTGTTTTGTTGAACTTGTTTAAATCATACTTTGAAGGCTTTAAAGGGGAGCAGCTGCCACCACTGTGTTGCATATATACATTACCCTTGGGTAAAAAACGTTACTATATCATTTTGAAAGACTTAAAAGGAAGTTGAATCTTTATAGCAATTTGAGTCTTTATCTTGAGTAATATTCATAACATTTCAAAATTGTAACCATTTAAATGCCAGTCTGTTATTTTTGTATAACAACCAAACCTCCTCTAAACCTTTGTTATTTTATTTGTATTAAATGCTAGGGGAACTTTATTTTCCACAGGCTGGGTTATGTCAATGATAAGCAACATCATTGAGTTTGATGCATGGCATTAAATCAGAATCAGAATCAGAATACCTTTATTCGTCCCACAGAGGGGAAATGTACATTTGTTCCAGCAGAAAAAGAGCCAAAGACAACTTAATGTTGACAAGAAGTATGCAGAAAAAAACAGAAAAAAAATATATTAGAGATTTTTAAAAAAAGAAAAAAAAGAATTACACAATTTACAAAATACAAAAATACACAGCCTGTAACAGTTCTGAAGATGAGCAGCCATATTGCACAGTTATTCACGGAATATATATATATTGCACATATTGCATAGTGCTCCATGATACAGCAGCAATAAACCTAGTGGAAACCAGAAAAATAGCTTGTATTTGCCCCATGGGTTACTGGTGGTAGCAAAAACTATAATTTTGAAGTTGGAACCGAAAGCCTAATCTAATAGAATGAATGTGCTCTAATGGCTATTGGAACTAAAATAAGGTTTTCAATGGGGAACGTGTTATCCTTAAAAGCCTGTCTGTATTTTGGCTTTACCTTTTTTTAATACACTTTTTATGGAGCTAAGGTTTAACTTAAAAAAACACACATTAGCAAAAATGTATGCCATATGCATTATCAAAGCCAAAATCATGAAAAATGTCTAATTTAACTAAACATTTATGCTAATGGTGTATCTTATCTTTGAAGCGACCTCCTCCAGGACAGTGGCAGAGACCAACGGTGAGTTCAGGAGCATGACGGGGACCATCCAGCTCGGGAGGAAGCTCATCACCAAGTACAACCGCAGAGAGCTCACCGACAAGCTGCTCATCTTCCTGGCGCTCGCCCTCTTCCTCTCCACCATTCTCTACATCCTTAAGAAGAGACTGTTCCCCTTCCTGTAGACCAGGTACCTTTTTTTTCAGAGGAGCTCTTCCATTACTACATACAGCACTTTCCACGGTCAGCGCAAATGATTTAAACAACCCTGACTGCTGCGTGTCGTGTTACACACACATTACACACGAGTGTCTGCTCCGAGGAATGTGCCCCGCTCATTCTGCGGAAGCGGGCGCTGCTGAGGGGGAATACTGTTCTCAAAGAGCGAAGAGAAACCCACACACCTATGGTTCCATGATGTGTTTTAATTATTTATTGGTCCGAATTGTGTCAGACGTCCATCTTTGGTCAGTGTGACAGTAATGCTGTGCATTGCTTTTAAATGAAATAAATTGAGAGAGAAGATGCACAAACCATAATAATCTTTTCTTTTGTACATTCCTATGGACAATATCCATTTCGGTTTTTGTTCCATGTATAAGTATATTGCATATCAAAGACGTACAGTTTATCCGTATTTATATGCCTATATTTATATATACACACCCAGACTCTTAATGTACAGAAAGTCATTCTCAGACCCCTAAGATACTCTTTCAGTTTGCCTCCTTTGTTTCTGTGGCTAAAGGTAAAATGCTGACGGTGGTAATGACAAACAATGGTTCCATAGAGATTTTAAAAAAGGCTGAGGAAAATAATGTAAACCCTGGTAATATCTAATAATCACAAAAAAGTTCCACCATTCATTTCAGTTCAACAAGCTTTGATTGGCATACATGTCATTTAAGAGTGTTTATAATAGTGTGCAATACTTTCAAATACTATAAATCTAGCATTACATATCACAATGTCAAGGATTTATATTGTCTGGTATTGAATATAAGTATGAACAAAAAAGTGACAAATTCACATATCCTCACTGATGTTTCAATCAAACTTGTTCAGATTATTCAGATACTTTGCAAATGATGGCAACATTCACTGTTATTGTTAATTATTATGTACTGTATACTTAAGTGAGTTTTAATTCATCACAGCACAACAATGACTGAGTTCTATATTTAGTAAGTGTAGTATTGAAATGGCTTTTAGCTTCGCTGTCCATCAGTTCTCTAATCAGAATGGCACTTGTATAAATGCTCTTCGAATTGTCTATATGCTTTCTTCAAATAGCGTAAAAACAAAAAATAATATATAATTTTTAAAGAGTGGGCACCCTCCCCCCATCTCCGCCCGGTTGAGCCCCGCTCTGCTCTGCAGCGCAGCAGAATGGCTCAGGCCGTGGCAGTGATCACCCTGGCAGAGATAGAGCAGCATGCATCCCTGCCTTTCTTCAGATAAGACCCGGAAAAGCAGATTATTCCGACCCGTTTCCCTTTCCAGTGTGGGTGGAGGGTGAGGGGGGATATTTTTAGCTTTGTGTGGTGCTGTTATCTGACTTTGCCTTTTCAACACCTCGGAGGAGAAGGTGGCCAGAGGAGCTACATGACCTTGCTACCCTGTCTGCTATCGCCTGGCATTGCCTTTTCTGTTTAATATATGTTAATGTGGTCAGTGTTAATCATCAATAAACAAAAAGTCTTCTGACTTGATGTTTGACATGTTTCTCAAACGTGTGTTTGTGAGGGTTCATAATGAGAGGGAAGACAACAGAGTGTGTGTGGAGAGAGCTGAGAGAGGCCTAAGCGTCTCTTACTCGTGTAAAGTGGCAGCGGGGCAGAGCCGGCCTGTTCCTATAACTGCACACTTAGACAAGGACTCTGGCTCTCTGTCAAGCAAATTGGATTATTCTTACATTTAGCACCGTGATAGTGTCAATCAAGTGTTTGGGTTTGTATCTGGACAAGTGGACGGGGGTCTCAGAGGAGCGTACATGGCACCACACTGATGGCGTAAACACAGGAACCAGACAGTCTCTTCTGAATTCATGAAGTCCTTTTTACGGCTAAAGGGAGCTTTCTGTGTAATTTATCGGACTGTTGCATACATTAATTGTCATATTTCAGTCTGAGACCTTTAATTTTCAAATAGGGCTAGGCAATAGCAGTCTTTCATCGATAACATGATACAAGTCTTAGCTTTTGGATATCAAAAGTGTAACATAAGTATTGTCGTTACTGATTTTAAAGGCTACATTTCATAAGTGATGTAATTTTCTGAACTCACCACACTGTACCTGATTTCCAACTTTGTTATTATACTGATGATTATTACAAATCTCATTATGTAAATATTTTGTCAAAGCACCATAATTCAACATTATATTATCGAAAACATGGTTTAAGATATAGTATGTTTGACTTTCTTCATACAGTCCAGCTCTATATAAATAAACAGTAATGACTAAGCCAAATAATTTCAAAAAGGAAGTCTTTAATAATTAAGTAAACTGTCCAAAAATAGATAAATATCTTGGATCAGGTAACATCTTGAATTTGTCATATGTACAAGTACAGAGAAAAAAGGTCGCTGACTTTCAGAATGGCATTTTGAGAAAGTGTATAGAAAAGTCTTGTACACACAATATAATAAAAGAAAAATCTAAAAGTTTGCATATCCACAGAATTAAAAACAGCATTTCCTCAGCAGAACTTGATGTAAAAACATTTAGTACCGCTCAAGGTCATGGCTGACAGCCATCTCTGTAGCAGTGACTTAAAACATGTGTGTAGGTGGCTGACAGGGAGCATTAAAAAGTGTCAACTCTGAACAACCTTTTAACCTTGTTTAAGAACATTGAAGGAAGCTTCCTAATGGCCACTTGAACATTTTAACCAGACACAAACCATATGAAGGTTGTAAAAACGTTAGGATCCTGCTGGTTAACCAGTTCAACCATTATGTGAACCACAGACATAGTTCACTACATATTATATACTTTATCATGTATTTTATATAGAGCCAAATTAGAGCAAATTATTGCAATTACATTTTCATAATTAAATAGCTTATTTCAAGCAATATAAAAGACAATAATAGTAATTAAATGTACAATAATAGCCTTATATAATTAATAGATTAAGCCCTAATTTACAAGTGGTTGTATATTTTTTATTCTCGCCCACTGAATCTGATTTTTATAGGTACAAATATTGAATAATACAATTGGAGTCAATACAAATAATAAAATAAAAGGAAGGGAAAGGAAATTGTTGTTCTAAAATCAAATTTAAAGAACTTTGCTTGCATCTTTTTTTGGCTCAGATTTCACATCTGTGCGCTCAGTCAGATCTTGAAATTTGATTTACAGGGCATGAAAATAAATACAAATGTAAGCTATTCAGTGCTTAAAACACAAACAAAAAACTATCAGAAATAAGTAATTTAATATAATAAAAGTTAGACGACACTCTGAAAGTCTTTACACATTTAAAAATGCATGCAATCGTAAAACAACCCAGTTAAACTGAAACAGAAACACAGATCTGTGTTTACCACGTCCTAATGCCATGTAACGAAGACACCCCATTACTGGAGGAGAATGTGTTCTGCACGTTATTCAGGTCCCCCACCCCGAAGTTCATGTAGTTCCCGTTGTTGGAGGACCCTTGCATAGTTTGCATCGTGGCTGCAGGATAGTTACAGGCATAGTTTGTGTTGCAGCCGGGGCTGGTGTAGTTACTGAAAGCCGGGTAGTTGTTATACGTGAAATGGTTGATGTGCCCCATGCTGTAGGACGGGTTGTAGGAGCCTGTGTCTGCGGCCAGGCAGGGCTTCCCGTCCCGCACCAGCACCGGCACCGACACCCTCCTGGGCGGCGGCAGCGACACCATCTCCAGGCTCTGGTCCTGCCTCTGCCGCTTGCACTTGTACCTCCTGTTCTGGAACCAGATCTTCACCTGGGTCGGGGTGAGTTTGAGCCCCCCGGCCAGGTGGTCTCTCTCCGGGGCGGACAGGTACCTCTGCTGCTTGAAGCGCCGCTCCAGCTCGTACACCTGCGCCTGGGAGAAGAGCACGCGTGGCTTCCTGCGTCTCCGGGACTTGGTTCGGTTCGGATCCTCGGGTTTTGTGTCTTCCACAGGAGGGCTGAACTCCTCTGAACACACCAGACATAAAGAAAAGGATGAACACAAATCAATCACATTCAGAATTCCTGTATTAATCCCATATCTGGGATAGTGTTACAGCTAGAGTCACATAAAAAAGAAAAGCACACATTAGTAATAACAAAAATAAAAATAAAAACAGAAATACACAACCATGGCTAAAAATGAATAGAACAGTGAGAGTTGGATATCTATTTACCCATTTGGGCCTAGAGCTATTTTTACTACAGCATCTTAGGTTACTTAAATAATAATCATAATATTGTCCTTTTTTGGTAATGAGCTTGTGCAATAGTACGAAATTCAGTTATTTTAGCTGACCATGATGCATTCAGTGTGTGATTTGGATGTATAGATGTGGAACACATATATGGGACACTTAGATAAATAACTTGTATTTTCCAGTGCAACTTTTGGTAGTCATTTAAAAAAAAGGAGATCTTTTTGGATTATATAACTCCTAAATAAATCTAGCAGGCCACAAGAAAAAGCTCATTCCAACTCGACTTGTTACGGCCTGTGTCCCCAGTGAAGGAGTTTGTCCTGTATTACTGTTTTTTTCTTTCTTTAGTGAACTTTTTCTTTAATTTTTGGTGCGTTGTGCACAAATCAAACAACACGATTCATTAGGCCTATGTTTGCACAGGACTGCACAATAAAATATTCCTGCTTTCCTCATCTCACCTTTTCTACGTTTCCCCTCAAACGCGTCTGATTTCCCATCCTTAACCAAATCCATCTCCATGAGGGATTTCCCATAAAAGGTAGTAGCGAAGTTGAGTGCATTTCCTCTGCCGGCTCTGGGCTCCTGCAAGTCTTCTCCAAACATCGAGATGGCGGACGACATCTCCCGGAGAGGCTCCTGCTTCAGGCGGGCCAGCATGCAGGAGGAGGAAGAGGAAGAGGAGGAGGAGGAGGTCGGCACGCTGCAGCAGTCCATACGAGAAGAAACGTCCAGAGGAGACACCATAACGTCATGACTCTGCTCCAGGTTTAATATATCCTTTACAGAGAAGGGAGTGGACGTGCTGCTGGGGCAGGGAAACATTGCCAAGAACTGAAAAAAGAAACTATTAACCTGTCATGTGGAAGTAACAAAAAAAACGT